TCGTGATTGAAATTGGTATTCACTGGTAAACTGGTATGGACTAATTTAACATGTAATAAATATTTTTTTAAATTGTTTTGAAATTGTACATTTTGTTACACAGTAGACTACTTAATTAACAATTATTTCACAGACACAGAATATGGAATACGTATTTTTCCAAAACGCGGGGCCTCTTGTGAATGGGGGCCCCCAAGCAACTGCTTGTTTTGCTTGTAGGTAAATCCGGCCCTGTATGGAGTGGAGAAAGAGTAAGATGGTGAATTCTCTTGGCAAGAACGTTTTCTTGGCTTACTTTACAAAGCTTTCTTAATAGTATTTCACCAACAATTTATTCAGAAAATAAATTCAGACTTATTATGTATCTTATGTTACAACACTGATTAGGTAATCCTTATACTTGGGTTTCAAATAAAATCTGTTCAGAATATATTTTGAATATTTCAAGGATAGAAAGTACAGTCTCCTACTCTGGCACAACTATTATTCGACACGAGCGACGTAGGAGCTAGTGTACAAGCGAGTACGAGCTAGTCGTAAACATCAACTAGTGAATAATAGTCATCATTAAACGCTCGTTGAAGAATATACAATTCTAAACATGACCCTATCCACTCAACCAAAAAAATGACGATTTTGAGATGTGCCACTTTTCTTGTGCACCGACGATATCATCGATTCAATTGCTTGTGAAAGCCAGCTGGGCTGACCTCCAACGCTGAGGATTCTATCCCCAACAGGTTTCTGTCCTTTGACCGAGGGGAAGGCCACTATGTCGCGGCTGCAACAGGAACCGCAACAGTGGCAGCGGAGCGAGAGCACCGGTGACGCGGTCGTCGCAGCGCTCCGTCCTTCGCGCGCGGTCGCTTTGTATTTTTAGCGGTGGCGCCGCCTCCGCCCTGCCCCGCCTCCGCCCCGCCTCCGCCCCCGCCCCGCCTCCGCCCCGCCTCCAGCCCCGCCTCCGCCCCGCCTCCGCCCCGCTCCGCCCCCCTCCGCCCCGCCCCGCCGCCACCCCGCCCGCCCACCACCCCGCCCGCCACGCCCCGCCCCGCCCGCCCGCCGCCCGCCCCGCTCCGCCTCCGCCCCGCCTCGCCCCGCCACAGCCCCCGCCACAGCCCCGTCCCCGCCCCGTCCCCACCCCGCCTCTCCCCGCCCCGCCCCGCCCCTTCGTGCACGACGTGATACTTTGGCAACAATCGGTGCACGCCGCGTCACCCGATTCGCTCGTCGGCGGCCCGCTATTAATATGGGCGCCCGCGTCGCCCGGCGCGCCCGGCCCGCCCTTCCGCCCCGAGGGCGGAGGCCGGGGCGGGCGCGAGCACGAACAGGCAGGCCGCGCTGGCGCTGTCAAAGGCACGTGCGCGTTCTCTCATCACAACAGAGACACCCAGCGCCTCTCCCCTGTGGCATATTCCTAACGGCTCGTCCTCGTCGTCTCTTCTCTCATCGTGCTGTGATCATGTAATGTTCTGTGTTTTTTTCTTTGACACGCGCGGATCGACTCTTCATAACAATGGTACTCAATGCTATATTTTCTTAGATCTAACGATGTACTCCACAAGCGCGATTAGAAGCAAGCATAGCGCAGAGCGCATCAATATTCAATTTCCTTTTAAATAAACCATATGCAGGAGTGTATACTTAAAAAAAAAATGGCATTGATAATGCAATGGTACAACCATTGTTGATTTATTTCAAACATGATTTTCGGAGCTTTCCCCATCTTAATTTTTTAAGTCTTATTAAATATGTTTACCAGCAATTTTTGTGTAAAAGAATCTCGTTTACATCTTTGTTTCTGATTAGCAATATTCTCGATTCATTTCATCCCCAGAAACGATGAAATGGAACGTTCTGCTTGTCTTTAAAATCAGTCGAAGTATTCGTTGAGTGTACGCAAGACACTAGAGTATTTTCCAAGACGCAACGGTGCATGCCTTAGTATGCCGTAAAGCTTTACTGGCATTTATCACCATTTTAGAATGTCGAATGCAGCCACGAAGGCGAAGCACAGATGCCTTGGAATTTATCATAAATCATGGAATTCTGGAATTAAACATGGATTCTGGACACACAACGTGTTAGAGGATTTTTTTCTATATTTGGCTACAGAATTTATCCATTTTGTCTTTACCAGGGCCAGACAATAAGAGTTTTGCTACCGAAAATTCTCCGTTTTTCGGCGCACGATTACATAACTTTCTCTTCTTACGTAGTACCTTCGTAAGGGCGAGAGTGTAAAAATGTACTGCGAAATAAAATTTACCAAACTGTTTACAAAGGTAGGTTCTTTTTTTTAAAATCAGTCACACAAGACCAGATTCATAATATCACCAAACCATTGAATCCTATCACAGTACATATTTAATACTTAACACAACTAAACACATTAAAATAAATAAGAAAATAAATGGTGCACTTTGCAGTTTAATATTTAAAAATACATTAATATTAAAACCTAACATAATATTTTGTTCAAAAAATAAAATCATGCAAACCCCCAAGACCACCACACTCCATTTAAAAGTAGATTCTCGGTAATCGCTTTATTGGGGAAAGCGTTGACGACTAGTTAACAAACACATGAAAAAACCTGTAACGATTCTCCTCATCTCACCAGAATGTACATGAGGGACAATATTCACAATAACATCATGATTGATAATAGGGACATTTCTAGATGGGGCTCAAAAACAAAGATTGGTTATTACACAGTAGAATTACATTTTCCAGTTAATGGTGACACACTTAAAAATCTTGAAGTTTAGAATAGCATTTGATCAAGATTGAAAATAATTTTATTGACAAAACTTATCTAAATTTGCTGAATGCGTCTTTCACGTAATTAAAATACGTGTTTAAAGAAATTACAAAAAAATGATTGCCTCATCAAATATGTGAAAATATAATTCAATACTCTTAGATGCATTTGTGCTTTTCAATGTGACTAATACACTGTCGCTTGCAATGCATGTAAGTGAGTGTATTGTAACTGAAAACGTTTCACGTTAGAGTACCTGTTTACTCATGAAATTAACAAAAACAATCGTTTAATAATACATCTGGTATACCCCAATGAGGGAGTTATGTGTCTAAAAAGTATGGCTCATTCAATACAATTTTCTGGTCAGTTCTCTTTCCTGGCCAATCATAATCTGCGATGATTCCGGGCGCGTCAAAGGCTAAGATGATTAATCCCTAAAATGTAGTGCATGTGTTCATCGCATGGAGTGGCGATGATCTTCACCTGCTAGCCGACCTACAAGGCCTACTACTTTATGCCGGTTTGCGGGGATTTTACCCAACCTCGGTGCACCGCTCAAGCCGGTGCAAGCTCTAAGCTCCCAACACACGCAGTAGTATAGTGTAGTATAAGTCAGTGTAAGTGTGTGCAAGTAAGAGCGCGCGGTCCGAGCATCTGCCACTAGAATTGTCCTGCAGACAGGGGCCTTGCTCGTCCTAGCTATCTAGGTGGTGCACCGACACTCGCATACCTCTCTAGGTGGTGCACCGACACTCGCCTAGCTCTCTAGGTGGTGCACCGACATTCGCCTAGCTCTCTAGGTGATGCACCGACATTCGCCTAGCTCTCGAGTTGGTGCACCGACATTCCCCTAGCTCTCTAGGTGGTGCACCGACATTCGCCTAGCTCTCTAGGTGGTGCACCGACATTCGTCTAGCTCTCTAGATGGTGCACCAACATTCGCCTACCTCCCTAGGTGATGTACCGACATTCGCCTCCTAACTCTCTAGGTGGTGCACCGACATTCGTCTGGAGTTGAAGAACCAACGTACACACTGATCAGAGCAGCTGGCGTTCAGGTAGTGGCTGCGTCCGATTCAGCTCCTTTCGCCCAAGACGCTTCAGGACCGGATTCGCAACTTCGTAATCTCGCATATTTTCCCTCTCGTGTATCTCGTATGCTTGCGTGACACAAGTATATTTTGAACACGATTTCATTATATAACTAGGGCTCTTACTCTCCTGTGGCGACATCTCACAAATAGATAATATATTTACTTGGCTGTCCGGGTGATGCCGCGTCCATGGCGAAGGTGCCGACGTCGGCGACCATGGCGACCGAAACGTCGGCGGCCATGGACGTGGCGTCACCCGGACAGCCAAGTAAACACTGACTCCGGCCGCGGAAGCCTACGCTCTCAATAGATAATATAATTTTCAAATAAACAATTATTCTAATAAAACAAAAAAATACGTGGTTAAATCATGCCTGTATAATTATCTGCTTCTATCATTAACACAATTACGTTACATCCCATTGCACTTAACTCTGTCTTGAGGTTTTTGATTTTCACAGAGGCGGCAACCTGATGTTCAGTGGCGGAAGTGCAGATCAAATGGAGAATGCAGTTGGGGTGGAGGGAGTGGGGGCGGAGTGGTGTCTGTGGCAAGGGCAGGGGTAGGGCGGGAGCGGGGGCGGGAACGGGGGCGGGAGCCGGAGGCGGGAGCGGGGGCGGGAGCGGGGCGGGAGCGGGGGGCGGGGGCGGGAGCGGGGGGGGGGGTCGGGAGCGGGGCGGGGCGGGAGCGGGGCGGAGCGTGGGCGGGAGCGGGGGCGGGAGCGGGGGCGGGAGGCGGGGGTGGGGCGGGAACGCGGGTGGAGACGGGGACGGGGAACGAGGGCGGGAATATCGACGTGGCTGAGCGGGGAGGGCCGCGGGCGGGGCGGTGGCAAGTGCACGTACGGGGCGGGGCGGACCGAGGCCGTGTCGCGGAGGCGGGAGAGGCGCGCGGGGGCGGCACCGAACGACAGCGCGCCCGGCGCGGGCGCCAGGACGCCAGAAGGCCTGGCTGCGTTGGCGTTGCTCATGGCGCGCGCCGCCCTGTCGCAATGCGCCTCGCCCCTCCTCTCCCCGCCCCTCCCCTTCTCTTCCCGCCCCACGCTGGCCCTGCCCGGGACGTTGCAGCGCTGGCACCAGCCACCACAATTGGACACCTCTACTTCGCTTGTATATTTCCAGGACAATGGCCTTCACTGCGCTCACGTTACTGGAAGACCTCGTTGGAAGTTTATGACGGTTCGAATACGACATCCATAAATACAAGCAGTGGACCTTAAGTCACATCCTGGTATGACAGATTGTAGTATCAAATTCTACGAAAGAAAACTATACTATTATTTCTTTTGCACTGTAGTACTATACTGTTCGCATAACCCGTTAATTTTTTAAAATGAGAATATTTGCGCGCAAATTGTGCAAAACACTAATATTATTTTATATTCCCTATTGTATTATGGTATTGCTATCTGATTAAACTATTCTGTTTTATTTAAACACTTACAATACAGATTCTCTTTTTTAAAATAATCTCCTGGTTTGAAAGCAATTGTAGGATATTTCTTGACAATAGGACAAGAAGAAGTCAGTTTCTCTGAGTACATCGCGCGATCTTCCACCATCTTCAACATTTCTTTTGCATTTTATTGATTGGCTAAAAAAACTTGTTTAATACATGTCTCAACTGGAATGCTTATTTAGGATATACTCGTATAGAGATGCTCAATAGAATATAGAACCCTAAACAAATTCCTTATGATTTGTTAATCACTTAATATTAATATTATAATTATGTGGACATTATTTGTTTTTTTCTTTCATGCAGTATTACTATCTGAAACGTTTAGTCTCTGTAAATTAAAGATGGAATTATTAGTTTAAGTGCTATTTAGCGGTTAATTTTTGCCATACAATTTTGATCTCTCAGCTAGTTTCAACTGTTAATCCTGGCAACTAATGTAAGATTTTTTTGTAGAGGGTAAGAGAACGTGAGGTCAGTGAACTGCCTTACCTCTATCGAACAAACCACGGAGATGACCGAGTTGGCAGAATGCCCTGACTGAACTTCTGCGAACCGATACGTATTTGTAAGTAACGCGGCTATCTTTTCCACATGTTTGGTGCGAATTCAGCCTCTTTTGAAAGAATGTTAGCACATGGAGAGGTCTTAGAATAAAATATAGTTTCATGACAGTAGAAATTAAATATTGACTGAGGCGGGAGAAAAGCTCGACATTGTGATTAGTTATTGGTATAAATACTGAAGACATAAAATAACATAGCACAGTGTTTTATAGTTTTATTTCGGATTGTTAAGTATAGCATGTTTAATGGTGTTTTATTTTATACATTATTCATTTTTAGTTCGCATCAAACATGCGTAAAATGTTTGTATACCATTACGTAAAAATTGGACACAGCTAAGAGCAAAATTTACTTATGAATTACTTGCTAGTTTTAGACAAATAACTTAAAAAGAATAGCGCAAAAATTCCAGTTCGTTTGAGAATAAAGCTGCGAGTTATCAATTGAATATTCATACATAGATCGTTTCGAATCGACCACGATCAATTTTTGACAGATAAAGCGCTTAGTTGGACGATTCCAAGCCCGGGTGAAAATTGTAGAGGCCGATTGCTCTAGTTCAATGATTTCAAGGTAATGCAACCAGTGAGACTCGATGGAACTGGTTTCAGAGTGAAATCTTCTCTAAACACAGTTGATCACCACGCCACAAGGTAGTTGGAATGTGCTAGAGGTGTAAAAGTAGTAGGGGTTAGATAGATTAAAATATCTTTTTATGCTTTATCGTCATTTCTCTTTAGTTTTTGTATTTTATTTTTTAGTATATTACCAAAAATGTTGTGAAGGAAATGTTTTAATTTTGCTCATTGAAAGTGTTTAAACATTAAGCTTTATATACACACTTGAATACGCAACTCTTCGTATGAATGCATAAGTTTTAATTTAGTATCTGTTTTGAACTTTTACTAAGCTCAGAGAATTCTTAAAAATAATGGAAATTCTCTCTCGTCTACGTAACTCTGTCACCGAGGCACCGGCCCAACCCGGACAAGTCCTCAGCTCCCTACTTCACCCGACGGTCACCCGAGATTTGAGGTAACTAGTGAATGTAATTGTATGTGTGTATGTGTGAAAAGGTGGAAAGTAGGGGGAAGGGAAGATCGCGAGCGCTTTCAAGGGAACTGCTCCAGCATTCGCTCGTTATTGATTCCCACATTCCAGTATTGATCGGAGACATTACGGAAAACTACCAATTAGAGCATTTGGACGCTAGAATTCTCCTCCAGGCTGAATTCGACATACACTGCGATTTATTTACAGCTGCCTCTGACAGGTCATCAACTGTTTCGGTGTCATCCTATCTGGAGAATAAACGTCACTATGGTGACGTTCAACCTTCCGTTTGAATGACGCAGTAACAGTTGATTTACGTCAGAGGCAGCTCTGAATAAATCCACGTAAAGCTCTCTAGCTTGTGTCAAAAAATCCGCCAACGCGTGTCTCAAACTCAAGGACCCGGTCAGTGCGCTGCAGTAACAACACTTGTCGCCATGAGCCATCTCAGCCGGTCTTATGGAGGGTATTGTAACTACCACATCGTTCGACATATCTCAAGAATATTGCGTACACTTTAGTGATCCAAACTTACTTAAAAAGTAGCCTAATTTGATTAGTAAAATATTTCATAAATAAACCGCATACGAGCAGGCCTGGATAGCCGAGGTCGACAAAGCTGAAGGACCGTAGCTGCTTCGACTCGAAGGGTCGCGGTTTCCAACCCCGCCACGGGCATGGATGTTTGTGTGTGTTTGTGTTGACTTACATGTTCTTCCTACAGTTCCCCCTACAATTAAAACAATCACAGCGGCCTCTATATGATCAAGTTGTTAAAAAACGACCTAAAATGCGTAAGGCCGCGGGTAAAATAGAATAAAAACGTTGTCTTTGCTCGCAAAATACACAGCTCTGCTCGTGAGAGAACCTTATTTAGTAAAATATCATTTTTTAGATGTGTCACTTATTTTGTATTCTGAGGACACAACACTTCACTTCACTTTTTTTTAGAGGGAATTCTTCTCAAATGCGTACATGTGGGGCAACGTGGACCAAGCTTGACGGTGGCTTCCCGTCGTGGAACCATTTTGTGAAAAAGAAATGAAAAAAAATAAGAATGTCGTCGTCACCGAGGCGGCAATTCGTCGGGATCCGATTCCGCGTTGGTCTCAGGTTTCGAGCGGAGGCCGCCGACCGCAAGAGGGCGACCCGCGCAGAGCGCTCAAGAAAAAACAACAACAAAAAAACGAAAAAACACAAGAAGGGGCTAAGCGCGTTTGGGAACTCCTCGACACCCGAGGACGCTTGGAGAGGAATTGAGATCTAAATCCCTTAGATGGGGAATGGCTACTGTGCTCTACATACACCATTTGAAGTTACTTAAGTTCTTGAATAATGGATTTGTGGGCAGACCTGACACAAGTAGCCATAGTGACGAACATCAATAAATAGTAAAAATAATTAAAGGAAGAAAATTTACAAATTATTTTATAACCGGGAATGTAAAATGACAATGGAATTCATATGCTACTACTCATATCTCTAAACTTCTCTAGAAAGATGGACTTAAGTTTAATCAAAATCCTCATGTATTGCTAGGTATTGCTAATATTAAAAGGTAATTATTGACTCTTTCAGGAGATATAGCTTCTAGATCACGAATACAGGTGTATTTTGAAAACTGACTAACAGAAGATTCACACAGCACAATAAAACAACCAAACATAGATCAATAAGAAATAGTATGAATAATTCCAGCGTAACAGTGACGAAACTCACATGAGAAGGAAGTGCTGCCTTTCTCCTTCTTACAATTTCAGCTTCATATTCTGAAGGGTTTAATAACCATGGTGGTTCACGGCCATTTACTTTAAAGGAAATTAGTCATCATTTTCAAGAAACGTTACTGAAGTTTGCAATAAAATTCAGTAAGTTTCAGACCTTCCATAATTATGTACAAAAATTATTTTCTGTAAAAGTCATCAAAATGCATTGGCGTTGAAAATATCTGTCCAACAACATCTTCTAAGTCACGCCCTCATAGCAACATCAAAGTGCGCGTATCTAGAGGAGCAGTCTGGTTTTGTGCTCGAATGCGGGGCGTGTGGGGGCTGCAGAAGAGCTCACAGGCGAGTGCGCGCGCTCGAGGCGCTATCGCGGCCGGCATCGCATCGCAACGCAATGACAGCCACGCGCCGCACCCTGTGGCCTCACCTCTTCCTCCGCCGCTCCCCGTCTCTCGTTTCTCTCCATCCCCTGACAACTACCCCATCACTAGAGTGCTCGAATGAAGCTGCTGCTCCTCCTTGCCCCGCTTCACCTCGCCCCTCTCCGCCACACCTCGGCCGGCCCGTCTCTGCCCGCTCCGCATCCCCCGCATTGCCTTGCCACGCCCTGCCTCGTCCCGCTCTTTATATTGCTCCGCTCTGCCTCGCTCCGCTCCGCTCTGTCTCGCCTCGCTCCGCTCTGCCTTGCTCCGCTCTGCCTCGCCCCGCTCCGCTCTGCCTCGCTCCGCTCCGCTCTGCCTCGCCCCGCTCCGCTCTGCCACGCCCCGCTCCGCTCTGCCTCCTCCTTGCCCCGCTTCACCGCGCCCCTCTCCGCCACACCTCGGCCGGCCTCGTCTCTGCCCGCTCTGCATCCCCCGCATTGCCTTGCCACGCCCTGCCTCATCCCGCTCTTTATATTGCTCCGCTCTGCCTCGCCCCGCTCCGCTCTGCCTCGCCCCGCTCCGCTCTGCCTCGCCCCGCTCCGCTCTGCCTCCTCCTTGCCCCGCTCTGCCTCGCCCCGCTCCGCTCTGCCTCGCCCCGCTCCGCTCTGCCTCGCCCCGCTCTGCTCTGCCTCGCCCCGCTCCGCTCTGCCTCGTCCCGCTCCGCTCTGCCTCGCCCCGCTCCGCTCTGCCTCGCCCCGCTCTATCTCACTCCGACCTAGATTTTCCACACACATTTGTCAGCTTAATTGTGTTCAGTCGCTGTCTGGAGGAGACTTCTAGCGATCTCATTGAGAGTTCTATCTTTGCTCTTTTGGGTAGTTTTCTGAGGTTTCTCTTATTAACACCAAGTGAATGTCGGAGCTGTACCCTAACAAACGGGCCACGGACAGCGCGCGGTCTTTCCTTCCTTTTCCTATCCTGACCTGACCCTCTTACGTACAGACACTTACACTTGCACATACACATGCCGGGAAACCGGTCGAGAGCCTACAGCTTGTCCCGGCTGGGCCGTGTCCCGTTGGTGGGAGATACCTGGTCGAGGAAAACCCCGCTAGCTGACAGTGGGTCGGCGCTGAATCCAGCGGGGGAAGATCACCGCTACCTCCCGAGGGGGGAAACATGCGCTACACTTACGGTGCTAATGACCTTGGCCGTTGACACGCCCGGAATCTCTAACAACCAATCAAGCATCCATATCGCCTCGCCCCCTCGCCTCCTTCGCTTCGCTTTCTGCCCTCATCTCAGACCAGACCAGCCCAGACCAAGGCCTTTTAAATAACCTCCCACAATGTCTTGTGCTCTTGTACTAATTTCGTTCGCTCAGCTCCGCCTCTTGTTCCACCTCACACCGTAGATGCTCGGCGCACCGAACGCCGCACTCAGCCACCCAGTGACACGCCGCACAGGCCTCCCACCCATCCATTACTCGACAGACAGCCAGCGAGCGAAGAAGCCCGCACTCATCGACCGATCGATCCAAGAACTCATTTGTTTTCTCTCCCCCTCCCCATCCCATTTAACATTCTTGCGCGATCGTTTCTCTGCTTCTATCGCACTCTTCCCTAGCTTGTTCGTTACCCTCTGTCCCGCCTCCACGCTTCAGTCACTCCCACCGTACCTCTTATCTTCACTCTCGCCCGCCCGTTTCCCGCACGGCTTGTGGACGGCTGTTCAGGGCGCAGCATCCGAACGCGACGTCGCTTACGCACGTGCGCTTCGGATGCTGCTCCAACACGACGCTCGCACGGCCACTGCACCATAAACTGGGCTAATGACTTCCACGCGAGGCACATCTCCTTCACAGGAAGTTTCACGTCTCTCTTACACAAGGACCTCTCCGTCCCCATTTTATCGTCGCCTACGAGTCCCCAACGAACATTAATTTAGATTGTAAAAACATGATATTTCCATTTCCAGAAATGTAATTAATTTCTTCGTTATAGTTCATAGAGCAATGAGTAGACAATTAATACAGACAATACAGACAATTAAAAATAAAATGAAGATGTGTTCATTTATTATCTTCCAAAACGAAAAATTATTTCTTATTAAATATATGAAAATCGTGTAACAAAATAAAGCCTTCAAATAAATACAACTTTCCTGACTTTTTTTTGTTGATTCCGAACGCCGAACACCAATCCCAATTGCCGAAAACTTGCCCAAAATGTGAAGGTGTGGCTTGCTTTAGTTGAAAATTTGTATGCAATGGTTTTAGATGTCGATGTTTAAGAATAAGAATCTTCCTTCACAGGAAGTTTCACGTCTCTCTTACACAAGGACCTCTCCGTCCCCATTTTATCGTCGCCTACGAGTCCCCAACGAACATTAATTTTAGATTGTAAAAACATACAATTTTCATTTCCAGAAATATAATTAATTTCTTCGTTACAGTTCATAGAGCATAGAGTAGTTACAGACAATTAAAAATAAAATGAATATGTGTTCATTTATTATGTTTCAAAGCGAAAAATTATTTCTTATTGCAAATATGAAAATCAAGTACCAAAAGAAAGTCTTGAAATAAATACACCTTTCCGGACTCTTTTTTTGTTGATTCCGAACGCCGAACACCAATCCCAATTGCCGAAAACTTGCCCAAAATGTGAAGGCGTGACTTGCTTTAGTTGAAAATTTGTATGCAATGGTTTTAGATGTCGATGTTTAAGAATAAGAAGCTAGACTAGTGATAAACAAAATGCAAATCCAATACGGTGTGTCAAAATTGTTAAAAGCGTTTTGATTCACGTAAATAATTGTATGCAGGGGTTCGTGGGGTCTCTGTGAATAAATTTTAATGAAATGAAATCATATTGAACAATTTTGGTTCCCCATATTGGATCCAACACTTAGTTTTTCAAAAACATAATTTTATATTTTAACCAGAAATCGTTAACATAAACAAAAGAACAAATTGGAATTGCTGCGGAGTTTGGAAAACGAAAACAAGTCCACCCAAAGAAGACACAAGTTATCCCTTTAGAGTGATGATAAACCTGTTCAAAGTGGGAATATATAATTCAAAGTATATTTCCTCTTTGTCGTGTTTGATGTAGCAATTATCTCGTTTAAAGATAGATTTTAACACACGGAGAACTACAGAAGATTACAAGATTTCTTTATGACATTGGAAATTTTCAGACATGAGATATGAATGAGTTTAAGGAGCAACTCAGTATATTTCAAAGAATGTCTTAAGTTGCCATTTGTAGACAACACTTCATCACATTCTCAGCAGACGTTAGCATGTTTCACCAGATTTTTTGTTCAGTCAAGTGGTACTCAAAACGGTCCAGTCATAAAAAGTTAACTGTCTGCAAACAACTCAAGATAGAATAACAGTCGAACATTCACAGTCTGAGAGTACATTTTTTCCTTTCCAGTTAAGAAAACAAGTCTTTTGTACCAGAAAAAGGTGACCTAAGACCGGACCTTCTAAATTTGACGATGTAAATCACAAAATGAATATGTTGATTTAACTATGCAATTAATTCTTTCAAAATAGTTGTTTCAATCAACTATTAGTATGTAGTGAAAGTAAAGCGCCACAGCGAGATACAGCAAGAAAGTGCTACTTCCCCGGTATGTCCAGAGAGGAAAAATCGCCTTTTTCCAGCGTGCTTCAGTACCTGAATCGCTTGTGAAAAAATTAAATTTAATAACTTATAATTTGTAGGAAGTATGGTGTACTTCAATTTTGTGTAGACTACTGTTCTCGATTAAAAGCAAAATGTTTCAAGCATACACGAAAATGTGAAGAAGTTTAAGCACATGCTTGGCTTTCTCGCCCTTACTTCATAAGAAGAGAAAGTACTGTTATCGTGCGCCGAAAATCAGTGAATTTTTGACATAAAATCTCTTGTTGCGGGGCCCTGGTAACGAAAAAGGGATAAATCGGTTCCTGTACACAGTAAATTACTTCCTCTAACGCATTGTGTAATCAGAATCCAATTTTTGTGGGTTCTTGATACCGAAGCAAAATACTTCCTCATATTTTTAAAAATACATTTGCAAAAACCTACGAGCAGTATTCCTTTGGAACTTATTAAACTTGAAGAAATTCAAGTGAATACACAGAAAACCAAGCTCTGAGTAAAGGTCCGTTCACAAAGCAAACGCAAACATAAGCATAACGTATAGATGTAAACATTAACATAAGTGATATACTGAAGTATTCACAATGTCTAACATAAACGTAAGCAAAATAAGAGTTTCTATTGGCTGTTAGATATTCTAGTTTTCTATTGGTTGGATGTGAGAATCGACTTCGGTGTATCGACTGTGTTCATAGCCCATGATACACGGTTTTTGTTCATCTATCGCCTGCAATCAATTTCGAATCTCGATTTTGAGTTAATGTACAGTTGGTTTATTTCTTGTGTCTTACTTAAGCATAAGCACAGAAGTTTGAAACTTGCAAGCTTCTAGGTTCACGTCTTACGTGTTATGATTGTGCGAACGCATTGTGAATGAGTCCGCTTAAGGGCGCAGTTCTAACTTTTATGTTAATGTCATGCTTATGTTTATGTTTGCATTGTGAATGGGTCTTAATTCTACATTTACATTCTTAAGCGTGCAAATACCGATTTTCAAGTGGACGTAACAAACAACTTTTTATTGAATTTAACTAACACCTTATTGGCATAAACATACAAAACAATTGCCTTTTAATGTTTATATAGATTCGACTACAGAATGATAAATAAAGCATTTACAGACGTAGAAGTGAATACAATTAGATTATCTTTATAGAGTTTTAATCTCTTGAAAATTAGGAGACTATGGAAATGTTAAGCAGATTTGACGAAGAACCAAAGGTAGCTGTAGAAGATTTTTCGTCAGAATTTTTGGAACTAATTGAGAATGATCTTACTAGAAAATAACGCTAAAGAGCAGATTAGAGATGAATTTTTATGTGCATATTAAAACGTAAAAAAATGTAGCTGTAAACGTACTAAATACTAACTATTCATACCTGAAAGTTCTCCATTCATACCTGAAAATATTTTTACGGCGGTTATAATTTTGAAATTGCAATATTGGCTATTCATATCCCCTACGGAGATAACAAAGAGGCCATTGAGTGCTGGGAGTTTTTGAATAGGTATAAAACAGTATCAGCTATTACGATTCATTGGTATGTCCAATGTCAGAGACTGTAATCACTTATTTTATCAAAGCTAGCATGACATATTTTCAACACATGAACTGTTAAAACAGTTATCACAATAATATTATGATACTGTTGTCATACCGTTAAGATAGTTTACAGGGGTCAGCGACCACCCATTCAACTAGTGTTCTTTATATTAGAATTATTTTTGATCTTAGAAGCAATATCACTTAGCCTAGGGACAATATAGAGTTTTACTGACTTTAATGAACCGTGAACGGTCAAGTTTTTTCAGTGTTTGTTGAGAACTTACGATCACCCAAGATTATCACATTATTCTTCGAGTGGATAATTACTGAGACAGACGTTTTCGTTATTTTGTAAACTTTTTACCTAAGGTCATCACAAAAGTTTTTTAAATGAGTATAACACAATTCATTTATTTTGAAAAAACGAATTCAAAAGTTTGCACTGATATCCACATGTTATTCTTTTATGTGTTGAGCGGTTATGTGGACAGATATTTGACCCTCAACTATTGCGAAACTACTTTGAGATTAATGAGACTATTTCCTGTCATGAGACGCTACCACTTAACAAAGTTACGCATCGAAATTAGTTTGACAAAGCTTCGTGAATAAGTAATAGATTCTTAATTGCTCTTAACACGAAGACCTACCAGTTCACATCATGACGACAAAAACGTCATAACATGATAATGAAAGGTGCAAGAGTCTTGCAAGCATGAGGTATATAAACGTTATCTCCATTAGAAACAATACGTGTTCATTAGAAGTATTAAGGAGATTCTGTGATAAATAAAAGAACGCTATATAAACTGTTTATCCGCGATTTTAATATTATTGTGATAATTGCAGAGGGATAATAACGTATTAACCCGACTATTCTTTATATTCATACATCATTCAATTTTGTTCACACAAGAATGTACAAAATATTGATGTTTATATTTCGGAGTCGAGCGAAATGTCTTTGAAAACATTTGATGACATGTTCTTGCAAATCAAAAATCGTGCCCATTCTTACTTCAAGCACACGTCCACTTATTATTGTTCTTGTTTAATGAACGGTGCAAACGTAGGCGCGGTAGTTACCCTGGCCACATACGAAGAAAGTTTAATAAACTGCTTCAATGACGTGGTGTAAATAACACGCCTGTTTCAAGCATGGCATGAAGCGGGTACTCGCTTCAAGTATCCGTTTCATGAACACGCAATTTTCAATGCGGTCAAAAGTTGATGCAGCACCTTTAGTTTAAATCACGTTTTATCTATTTTTTTTTTGATATTCTTTTTTACATAAATGAATAAATTAATGTCATGCCAAAGTTTTAAAATACAAAATCAAAAACCTGACCTAATATGTACCTTTATTAGTAATTAAAAACTACAACTTAAAATGGAACAAGGAATTAAAGGGTTGAGGTCAAGAATACGTTACGTGACATAGGACATAAAGAAGGATAAAACTTGATTTTTTTAAACTTAAGTATAAGAATTCCGTGTCACCATTTTCTCCAGAAGCATAGTATAAGACTAAAACATTGACGCGCCGCAGAGCTCAGGTACTTTTCATAACTTTTTCTATCATTTATAAATTGTGCATGAACATTTTATTACGCACAACCTCTCAATTTAAAATTATACAAATAATATTTTCCTCCACTACAACATTGTATTGTACCAGTATACATGTGTTGCATTTGTTAGTCTACTTCCTTGAAGGGAATGGCAGATAAAGATATTTTGGAATGAAAATTGCTCTTACGATTAGTTTGAAAAACGACGCTCTTTTGGAATACAGTTGTGAGTCTCTAACAGGTCAAGGGTATTCATCAGTCGTGGTTTCACAGGCGAGGAAAAGAATGAAAGTGCTCCTCAAATATTTTATTATTCTGAATGTAATTATCAAATGAAATATTGCTTTAATGTTTGAGGTAATTATATACTTTTTAGTTTATATGCAGCAATTCACTTTTGTTAAGTTTTAAATGTGCGCTTTAAAGTGGCACAAAATCTATTCAAAATCGCTCTGAGGACAAGTACTATCATTTCGCGTTTATAGGCCATCGCCATCAGCGACTCTGCGGGCGGAGGTGGAAACGTTTATTAATGGGGTAACTCAACTCAAGGGAGGAACTTCTCTCTTGCACTGTCATCTACAGGCACAACTGTCAACCACATCGACACTTCACGAGTCGAAAACCATGTCACACCAGCAAGAGATAGGGCGCGTCCTCATGGGGGCAGAGCATGTGGCTCACGGTCTAATCTCACAGGGTGAGTTGGTGAAAGTCCGTGTGAACGAACAGGCAAATCTTCCTCTCTTATTCCATCGCAAATTGACTCACGTTTTCTAATTTGTTGTACGTTTCATTTGAAGCAGTTTATACAATTGACTCCTTTGTCTTTCCTCCTTTTAAAAAAGTGCACGAGTTGCCACTGGTGTTCATTCACGCATACTTCGCACCTTGCACTCACTCGTTACAATTCCCACCACGTACATGAAAAAAAATCAACAATTTGCAGTTCACACCGCCTGAATTATAAAAGGCAAGTGATCACCGCGCCGCACGTTTGCGGCATTAGAGTGAAGGTTAAGAACAGCACGCCGCAAGGACGCTCGGATCTTAGTATCTGTGGTTAGAATGACATTGTCTTACGCTCGTCACCGTAAGATAGCACTCAGAAAATAACGTACTAATTGTACAAGAGAACTGCACAAATTCCAGCTCTTTAAAGTATCATCAGCAGTGACGTATGCTGCCCGCGAGTCTAGCTTCGCGAAGACTCCCGTGGGGCTATAAGAATTTGTAGCGACTAAAACTACGAAAGATTGGAGAGAATCTATATTGCTGTTTGCGTAATATCCATGAACACGCAGCTTAAACCAGGTGAACTTGCACCCACGTTAAACCTTGAGTGGCTAGACCAGACTTGAGCGACAAGAATGCACAGCCCTGTCGCAATTCAAGTTTCGGTTCCCGTGCCCCCGTTTTTATTAATGGGAGATGATCTTTCAAAAACTCAAAAAAAACATCTTCTTGATATGCTACAGCTTTACCAGCTTTATCTCCTAGACCCTTCAAGAAAGTAGACCAATAAATATGGAATTCTGTTCAGTACAAGCATGATTGGAATGCTTATTGTTCTCTGCTACGCCTGTAAATTAAAGAATGTAGAGCGTATACCTAAGTGACCTTCACTGTGATTCGTCGACTTTCTCTTCTTACCTGATCCTGTTTGTGTACACATTGAAGTATTAACCAGCCAATCTACTACGCTCGTAACGACTACATAATTATTTATTCGGTCGGAGTTCAAGTTTTACTACAAACGTCTCCAACAAAAAATTGCGCACAAATATTTGTGTCATTGTCATAAAATCAATACATTAGAGTTATGGGCTTGAATTCATTATTTCTCTGACAAATTAACTTTAATTAAAATATTCCCTGCACCCTTTTATCTCGATATTCGGATTTTCACCTCCCTTAATATAATTTCTTAACTCCGATTTAAATAGTATATAGCATTTCAAGGTCACGGGCTGAAAGAAGATAGGAACACTGTCATCCGATCGGCAGCTTCGTTAAGACTTAAATTTTTGGCATGGAGCTCTCAATTGGATAACGATGTCCCCCTCTCCTTCCAGCTCTTGATATTGAAGTGCTGCTATGTTTAAATAGGAGTGTAACCAGCTTTGAGTTTCGTTACTATAAATGTCTATTTGTTATTAGAATGTTTGTCTTAAAACCACACAATTTTTTTTCTTTTCTTTTTTTCTGCTAGTATGTACCAAAGGGCGGAAAAAATATGGTGTTTTTCCCGTTTCCGACAAATTCTCCGCTTTTTCGAAAATTGCAAAAAATTAACATTTCAAAACTATAAAATTGAAGATACAAATTTTTGCCCCACTCAAAATCTATTCCAAAAAATCTGCTCTTTAAAAAAGTCAAATACAATTTTGAGGAAAACGAATAGTTTTCACGCAATTGCTGGTTGAAATTAAGGCAATTATTAAACAGAATAGTTTCTCAAAATCCGCTGTAATTTTTTCTTTTACGTTTTTACGCGTATGAAACAGAGGACGCATAAAATAATGGTGTATGTCTCATTTTCGTTGATCTCTCTGAATTTTCAAAAATTGCGTGTTGGAAATATTGGGTTGAGACAGATTTTTAAACGTCGGCCGGAGTTGGAACGTCAATACATTAGAGGGCTGCTTGGTGTAGATGAAAGGTACACGACGAACTAACTCGGAGGACCCGAGTTCGAGTCTCTGTGCGGAAAAAAATTATGCTGGTTGAAAACATGTATGCAGGTTCGTATAAGAATATAATATTGAGGAGCAGTTTCACATAATGCAAGAAAGTATGAGAAATTGCACCACCACTAGTTTCAGTAAAGGTTTTCTTCCGGAAAAGTACGCTTATTAAGATGGCGCAGGTTTAGTTTTCGCTGAACAATGTATTTTCCGAAACTTGAAAAAGTAAAAAACATTTTCGATGACTTTCTGCAACTACAGTATTGAAGATAGAGATTTTAACAATACAAAATATTATTTAACAATTTATCTTGAAATAAAGTTTGATTGAACTCTGATTTTTTTAAAATTTAAAATACAAATTTTAATTTTCTTTTAAAGCGAACGAGAATGGCGAATCAAAACTAAGAACCTGAGTTCGCATCCCAGGATATTTTTTTTGCTATTGGAAACATCTCTGCAGGTTTAAATAGTATTACTACATTGCGTATCTCGTATTACAAATAATACTTGCAGTATAAGTAGTATAGTGTAATATAAAGCTCTTGTAGCACCACTAATTTAATTTTCAAGACAACTTTGGTCTTGTCTCAAACTAGCCCTTTCCTTAATTATTAATTGGATTGTTGGTGAAAGGGTTTATCAAAATAGCCCTTTCCTATTTCCCTCCGAAGTCTCTGCTCGTTTGCTGGCGGAGAATCGATTGGCACTTCAAAAGTATGGGTGATCTGGACTGTCCGGGTGACGCCGCGTCGAAGGCTGTGTTGCCGACGACCGACCAACCGACCGACCTGAGGAAAACCACGACAGGATGGTCGAAAAGTCGGCAACACAGCCTTCGACGCGGCGTCTCCTGGACAGCCCAGATCACCCACACGACTCTGGCCGCGGAAGCCTACGACTTCACTTCAAAAGTATGTCCGCGCGAAGAAATTTAACAAAATAAACAATTGTAGATAGCTGAAATTTAAACAATTGTGTAGTATACCACATATTCATTTGTTAAAATCGTCTATTCTTTCCTAATTTATTTAAAAAAAATGAAAACTCTCCCTCTTTCCTTTCAAAAACATTGTCTTTTACAATCGGTGATAATAGCCGCGGAAGAAACTTCTTGCTACCTCGCACTGACCGCCATCCCACGATCCATGACACCTGATGCGTTATGCTCCGTGGGCGAAGGTTCACTGTTGAGAGTCGATGACTGATCGCGTTGAGTGACGCCCGCCTTCAACAGGCTGATGTAGCAACGGAAAACGCTTCGCTGCAACGTTGCTTAGGCTGACGTTTTACATTCCTCCTCGCCCCCCTCCTTCCACATCGCCTTCCGCTTGCTCCCCGATAAATGTGCACCTCTTCTCTTCCAAAACACATCTCCTGTTCTAGATAATTTTTTTTTCGCGTATAGGCCAACTCGGACCACGCGTGCATCCTCCCTCGCCAGGTGCAAGTACCATTATCTGGGGGAGAGGGTCAGTATTTAAGCTGAATCCCGATTTTTATCTCCCAAGGTTGTTAGCCCCGAGGGTATGGACATGAAATGATGATGATAGTGAGGGATGAAAGGTCGGCACACACATATAGACCTACACAAATACACCTATGCCCGAGGCGGGACTTGAACCCGTGGTCTTCTGATGCGAGTCCACTATAGCCCAACTGCCCTAACGATCGTAGCCATCTTGACCGGCCTTCTAGATAATATGTAATAAACAATCATTTTTTGTTATGGTCATTTGTTTGTGATATCCGCCGACACATGTGCTCTCCCCTTAATGAGTACGTGTGCTCTAACACAACTTAACTTAGAGGTCACCATCTAATTATGCTCTGGATAATTTCCTGAAACACTTGTGCGGGTATGAGTGATATATATTGAAACGAAGAACGTTTCTACATAATAATTAGCAAAACTGATATTAATTATAAGAAGAG